GCTGCATCTCTGCGTTTAAAGTGTATTAGGAGGCGGGTGAGCAGGCAGCCCAGTTCAGTTCTACCTCGTACCGGGTCTGGGACTCAGACCTCCCCTAGACAGGGACTGCTGCCACCCTGCAATATTGCCTCTTTATCAGAGGTAGCAGCACAGGGTGACGGGCAGCTGGTCCATGAGGGGAGCTGCTTTTTAAACTGGCTCCCCTTGTGGTCCATGTCCCACCTGACACCCTGCACTGCTACCTCTGATACCGAGGCAGCAGCAAGAGGCAGGGGGCTCCTCAGGAGTGAGGCTGGAGCACACTGGGCTCCTCTGAGTGACCAATAAGAATTCTTGAGGTTACTTGACTATTCAATTAACCGATATTTAACATCCCTAGCCAGCTTTGCCAGATGCCCAAGCATGTGAGAGGTGTGTGTGTGTGTGGGGGGGTATCCCCCCTCACCCTGGGGGGTTATCCCCGTGTGACGGCACGTTGGGGGTCCCCCGTCTCCTGCACCCCCGAAATGGCACGAACAGACTCCGCCAGCCAGTAGAATAGAGGTGGGTTATTGCTTCTCCAGTATACAGCACAGCACAGATGTCATCAGGTTACAGGGCAGGCCTAGGATGCCTCAGCCTCCCTTTGATATGGGGGAGGAGGTCTCAGCTTCTAAACCCCCCAGCCTGTTGCTGAGGCTGCTTCCTCCATGCTCCCAGACAGAAACAAAACTAACTAAACTCTCCTCCAGCCCTGCCCCCCAGCCAGGGGCAGCATTCCACCTTCCTTTGTTTCTCCCCATGGGGGGTAGATGGTCAGACAGGTTTGGAGCCCCCTTTGCATAATGACTCGTGTTACAGACAGGAGAGGTCGCCACAGCCTTAGCAAGGTACCCCCACCACGTCACAGCTTGTTGCAACAGTATCAGAGAAGCTTCTACTCAAGACCCAATATGGATGTAGATCCAATTGAAGAACCATAGACAAGATTTTCCTGAGAGACAGATTCAGGAAAAATCGATTTTAAAAAATGGAACTATATGTTGTCTTCATTGATCTAAAAAAATAGTTTGACAGTATGAACAGAAATGACCTCTGGAGAATTTTAGAAATGTGTGGCTGGCCCACCAAATTTATGGACATCAGACATCACTTCCATGAAGACATGACTCATCAAGTACTGTCCCCCTTTTGAACCCTAAAGCCTTAAAGATAAGAAGGCTCCAGCTACCAAGTCATGATGCTTAACAGGGATTTGATGTTCATTTGAACCTTTGTGCTGCTCAGTTCTGATGGATTTCCGTTGAGCTCACTTGGATATGATTTGTTTTACTAGGTGTCCAGTATCCAACATAGGGAAATACGGTCACCCTCAGCCTGGTGCTTTTTCACGTTGCTGGCTACTTGGGTAGATTTTGCTTCCTGAATGTTCAAGCCAGGCGGGTAAATGGGAAAGCTCTGAGATATGTTTGATACGGATATTACCAGGGCTCGCCGAGCCGTGCTGTCCGGCGTTCTGCGCATGCGAAGATCGCCCAAACCCGGCTCTTCTGGGTTGTAATCTACTCACCACGGGCGAGTAGATTACATAGATCGTCGAGCCCTGGATATTACCATATCGGAGGTAAAAGCCAAACTTGAACAGCTTAATGGGAGTAAATCGGGGGGGCCCAGATAATCTTCATCCAAGAATATTAAAGGAACTGGCACATGAAATTGCAAGTCCATTAGCAAAAATTTTTAATGAATCTCTAAACTCAGGGGTTGTACCATTTGACTGGAGAATTGCTAATATAGTTCCTATTTTTAAGAAAGGGGGAAAAAAGCGACCCGGGTAATTATAGGCCTGTTAGTTTGACATCTGTAGTATGTAAGATCTTGGAAAAAATGTTGAAGGAGAAAATAGTTAGGGACATTGAGGTTAATGGCAATTGGGACAAATTACAACATGGTTTTACAAAAGGTAAATCGTGACAAGTCAACCTGATCTCCTTTTTTGAGAAAGTAACAGATTTTTTAGATAAAGGAAATGTAGTGGATCTAATCTACCTTGATCTTAGTAACGCATTTGATACAGTACCACGTGGGGAGTTATTGGTTAAATTGGAAAAGATGGGGATCAATATGAAAATTGAGAGGTGGATTAGCAACTGGTTAAAGGGGAGACTACAGCGGGTCATACTGAAAGATGAACTGTCAGGTTGGATGAAGGTTACTAGCGGAGTTCCTCAGGGATCAGTTTTGGGGCCAATTTTATTTAATCTTTTTATTACTGACCTTGGCACCAAACGTGGAAGTGTCCTGATAAAATTTGCAGATGACACAAAGTTGGGAGGTATTGCCAATTGAGAAAAGGATCGGGATATCATACAGGAAGATCTGGATGACCTTGTAAATCGGAGTGATAGCAATAGGATGAAATTTAATAGTGAGAAGTGTAAGGTTCTGCATTTAGGGATTAATAACAAGAATTCTAGTTATAAGCTGGGGACATATCAATCAGTTGGAAGTAACAGAGGAGGAGAAGGACCTGGGAGTCCTGGTTGATTATAGAATGACTATGAGCCGCCATTGTGACATGGCCGTGAAAAAGGCTAATACGATCTTGGGATGTATTAGGCGAGGTATTTCCAGTAGGGATAAGGAGGTGTTAGTGCCATTATACAAGGCATTG